ACCAGGACTTTGATGCCCCAAAGACCCAGGTGACCCACCCAGCTGCTGACTGGCTGGATCCTCTGAATCCAAGCCAGGGTTCCTTGGGGGGTGGAATTCCCCAAGTCCAGTGGTGGGGTGGAATTCCCCAAATCCACAATGGACTCCTCTTGGGAGCACTGTCCCTCGAGCCCAAGACCAGCAGCTGAAGTGGCCTGAGTGGCTGATGAGCCCCAGTAACCCATGGCCCCTGTGTATGTGCCGGAGGTGCCAGAGTCAGGAGCCGCCTCCATGGCAAACCCCCTTCCTGGAGACTCCCTGTTTGGAGCACTTACTGAACTGGAATGACCCCCTTTCTGGAGCACTAGCTGAAGTGTGGGATGACTCCCTCTCTAGAGCAATAGCTGAAACCGGTGGAAGTCTGGTTGGTCGAAGAGACTGTGGTCCACAATCGTAATTGTGGTCCTCCCCCCCCCCTGAGAGCAGAGCCAGGAGCCAGAAGAGTTGCTGGGCAGCCTCCAGCGCAGTTGGTCTATGTGCCGTCGGATGACGCGCCCATCGTCCAAGGCCACTTCGTATGACAGCGGCCCAGAGACCTTGCATACCACTGCTGTGACCCAGAGATGTCCAGGACCATAGTTCCTTGCCCAGACTGGATCACCCACCTGTAGTCTCCTAGGTGCCCGCGGCTGTGACACCTGTGAAGCCAGCCGGTCTGGGTGCAACCTATCCAGTTTCATGATGAGGCGGTGACCCCAGCGGAGTTCTGCTGGGCTCTTTCCTGTGACTGTGCAAGGTGTAGTGCGTTGTGCAAGAAGGAAATCAGCTAACCTGTGATGCCAGCTGCCATATGTGAGTCTCTTGAGAGCATCTTTGATAGTGCGCACCATCCTCTCAGCCTGGCCCTTGGAAGATGGGTGGAATGGAGCTGAAGTTGCATGCCGGATCAAGTTGGCCTGTAGAAAAGCCTGGAACTCAAAAGAGGTAAATTGGGGACCGTTATCTGAGACCAGGACATCTGGAAGTCCATGAGAAGCAAAGATTCCTCTCAACACCTGGATAGTCCTGGCAGTAGTAGTGGAGGAAACAGGCACAACCTCTAGCCACTTGGAAAGGCTGTCAACGAGGAGAAGGAAGAATTGCCCCTGAAAGGGCCCAGCGTAATCTATATGTATCCTTGACCAAGGGGCTTGTGTTTCCTCCCACTTATGTACAGGGGCCTGAGGCATTTCAGGCCTTGACTGTTGGCACACTTGGCACCCGTGCACCTGGGTCTCGATGGCTTTATCGAGCCCAGGCCACCAGAGATGGCTGCGCGCAAGCACTTTCATCAAGATTCTAGACCTAAATGAGGCTGGGATGACTACCCTACTACCCCATAACAGGCAACCCTTGAAAGTGGAAAGCTCGTGCTTCCTTTGCCAGAAGCTTTGAAACTCAGTATCTGGACACGTGTCAGGCCATCCTGACAACACCCATGTCAGCACGCGTGTAAGCGTGTGATCAGTGGCAGTTTCTGCAGCCATGTCCCTAGCATTGAGGGGAGATTCAGGCAACTCCTGAATGGAAAGAATGTTAATAGCAGGAGCAGGATCTGCCTCTATCTGTTTTAGAGGTAATCTGCTGAGGCCATCTGCATGGCCCATTTCTTTTCCAGGTTTGTGAATTAAGGTGTAATCGTATGTTGATAGGAAAATTGACCATCTCAGCATTCGAGGAGATATTATGTGAGGGGTTTGCTTGTTTGTTGTAAACAAACCCAGCAGAGGCTTATGGTCTGTGTAGACCGTGAAGTGGCAGCCATATAAGAAATCATGAAATTTCTTTATGCCAGCCACTATGGCCAAGGCTTCTCTGTCAATCTGAGCGTAATTACGTTCTGCAGATGACAGAGTCCTTGAGTAGTAGGCAACAGGGACTTGTGTCCCATCAGCCTTCAGGTGACTGAGTACTGCTCCCACCCCATATGGGGATGCATCACATGCGATGCACACTGGCAATTGATCATTGAAATGCGCTAAGACCACATTTGAAGAGAGCAAGGCCTTAACCTCATTGAAACTCCTTTCATGGACCTTAGTCCACTGCCATGGAGCCTGTTTATCCAAGAGCCGGTGTAACGGCTCAGCCGCTGCAGCCTTGTGGGGAAGGAATGCGTGATAGAAATTTAAGAGTTCCAGGAAAGCCTGAAGCTCGCTTTTGGACTTGGGACTTGGGGCTTGCTTAATTGCTTGAAGCTTGGATTCAGCAGGATGGATGCCTTGAGCATCAATTCTGAAGCCTAAGAATTCAGTGGAAGTGACTCCAATTTTACATTTATTCTTGCTTCAGTTTCAGACCCATTTGGCGGAAACGAAGCAAGACAGCCCTTAACCTTTCAGCTAAGTTTAGAGATGACTCCCCAGCAATTAGGATGTCATCGAAGTAGGGACAGACCCCAGGAATACCATGGAGCGTGCGCTCCATTACACTTTGGAAGATGCCAGGGGCTACATTAACCCCAAACTGCAGTCTTTTGACCTTAAAGGCTCCTCTGTGTGTTACGATTGTTTGAGCCTCAGCTGTTGCCGCATCAACAGGTAACTGTTGGTAGGCCTGTGCCAAATCAAGTTTTGCAAAAATTCGCCCACCCTTGAGGGAGGCCAGAATGTGGCTTACCACAGGCACTGGATATGCATGTTGTTACAGCGCTTTGTTCAATGTGCATTTATAGTCTGCGCAAATTCGGACTTCTCCATTAGCCTTTAGAGGCGTTACAATGGGGGTTTCCCATGGACTAGAGTCCACAGGTTCTAAGATGCCCTGCTGGAGCAGCTTGTCCAGCTCTGCATCAATTTTGCTTTTGAGAGCAAAAGGCACCCTTCTAGGCTTAATCCTAATAGGTGTTATAGCTGGGTCTAAGCGTAGAGCAATGGGAGGAGGGCCCTTGTATGACCCACGTTCTGTGCTAAACACATCAGCAAACTCCTTGCAGACTTCTGCAAGGCCTAACGTTTGCAGGCTGTGTAGCCCAGTCACTTGGATTCCAAGGGCCTCGAACCAATCCAGTCCAATGAGACTTGTGCGATCACCTCCAACTACCACCACATCTAGTAGGCCTTCAAAAGCCTTATGCTGCACTTTGAGCATAGCCTCCCCTTTCACACTGACTTTGGAATTCTGGAAGTCGGTGAGAATTAAGTTCGATGGCCTGAGTTTGACTCGAAGGCCACTATTGCTGCAAATCCTTTTGAAGGTGTCATGTGAAATGATCGATAGAGCGGACCCTTTGTCCAACTCCATTGACAAGGGAACCCCTTGCAACTTCATGTCAATTCGAAGCTTTTTTTTTAAGGGGCTTGTGTGTCCCTGTCCTCAAAATGCTCCTGCGCAATGCGCAGAAACCCACCCTGTGTTGGCTGGGGACGCTGGTACCTTTCTGAAGCAATTCTTCCCGATGTTGAACCTTCTGGCGACCCAAACAGACGGAGGCAATGTGGCCTTGCCTTCCACATGCCTGGCAAATGGCGGAACGGAATCTGCAGTCAGCGCGCTTGTGGCATCCTCCACACCCGAAACACTGAGGAGATGCTGGGGCCTTGTCTGGACGCTCCTTCGGCCTTCTCTCTGCTGGCTGGTGTAGCCTGTCCACCTCCTCTTCAGGATCCTGTTCTGGATCTTCTCGAGTGACCTCTTGATGGACGGTCATGGTGGCTGGAGGGTTTCTGGCGAGTCGCAAAACCTTCACAGCGCTGCCTGCTGCTTCTTCAGCCGCAACCTCTCTCAAGGCATCTTGAACGAAACATCTTCCTTGGCGAAGATCTTCTGTTGCAGCTCACGACTTCTTAGGCCACAAACGAAATGATCCCACACCTCTCTTCCAGGTCCTTGAATTCACAAGGCCTCGTTGCTTGCCTGAAGGCAGCAATAAATTCCGTGGCAGACTCACCAGGCCTCTGGTCCCTCTGGTCGAACGCGTGTCGCCAAGCAATCACAGAAAGTTTAGGCTGGAAATGTTCCTTAAGCATTTTCTTCAAGTCTGCATAAGTCACTGATCCAAAAGTGCAGGGGCCACCAGATTATTGCTATGTCAAATGTTTCTTGTCCACAGACACACAGCAGGGTTGCCGCTTTAAGGCTGTCTTCCCTTATCTGATTGACCCTAAAGTAATTCTCCGCCCTCCCCACGTAGGAATTCCAGCGTTCCGGGTGGGAAACATCAAAGTCAGACAACTGGCCAATTTTAGACATCTTAAGCCTTTACAACCCTCGTTAATGCTTTTGCTGCAAGCCTTGTATTTGGGGAAGGGGTCTGTTTGCCAAGCTCACCTCCAGCGATGCTGTACTGGGAGGCAGAGTCGCAATGCTGGACGCCGACTTCCCAGGGCTTCAGGACCTTCTTTGTGAGTTTTTTTGTTGTTTATCTTGCTTGCAGCGATCCCATTCTTTTGTTGTTTATCTTGCTTGCAGCGATCCCATCCTCGTCGCCAATGTTAGATTCGCAGGTTGGAGGCATTAAGAGAAGACGCATAGTATAACAACAAGTCTTCTTTATTGTTCTCTTCCATAACCAGCAAGAGCAAAAACGGCGCACAGGCCTTTTATAGTGTCCTAGACCCGGACAGTGTCAGCCAATGAAAACCAGGCTGTTTTCGTGCATTGCGCATGTGCGCAAGGCTGCAGACAGTCAGTCTGGTCCCGGGCAGCTTTTGGTCTGCCCGGGACCATTTGCAACATTTCTGAGCCTGCTGAATGCTTCAGCAGGCTCAGGACATAACAATTAGTGTTTTGGCATTTTAGAACTTCAGGATTATTGCTATTATGATTTTATGTTATATCTGTTTATCTGCTGTTTAGATGGGTTTTAGTGTTTTATATTGCTTATAGATTTTTGACTGTGCATTGTTTGATGAATCCTCTAATCTGCTGGTGCAAAATAATAATAATTCCCAATTTTGATTACAGAATGCACAGAACAGTCACTCCCTAATGAATTACCTGAAGGACTGAAATTAGAAAAAGTTTTTGATCTGAGACAACAGGAAGTATTGCATGTCAAGGAAGTGCAAGAATACTTGGGAGTCCTTTTGGATAAGTTGAGGAAGGTTCAGTGCCATTTAAAAGGTATATTTTTTAAATGACGATCATTTTAAAATCAGTGTTTATAGTTTCTTCTGCAAATTGCTATTTGATACTTCTTTGCAGTTATTTTTAATATCCTAAAATATATGGAAGGATGAATGGGAAAGCAGCTGAAAATTCTAAGACGAGATAAATGGAATAATACAGATATGAAAACACAAACTCTTTAGATTGGTGCTGTAAAATGAATCTTTGGGCAGGTTATATCAAATGCTTAAATGAATTGAAAATTACTATGCTCCAACTTATATTTTCCCCCTTTTTAAAGTTGATTTCACTGAAGTGGAACAAAAGTACATCGGAAAACTGTCACTGAAAACTTTGGCTGCTGTTGTGAAAGTGAGAAAACCCACTTCATGCAGTGATGATGGAATAGAGACCTCTCTCCATTTGAGTGAAGAGCTGAAAGTTGTATCTAAATGTGTGTATGATTATAAAGATAACCACATTTTCCTGCATTGCTGGGAGCAGGCAGCCAAGTGGCTGATGAACAACATGGAGGATTCAGACACTGAACAAACTCTAGATATGGAGGAAGTGTATGATTGCTTATTTAATCCTTGTTACAAGGAGTTCCAAAGGATTTATGACAGCTTGAAATTGGGAGACCTCACATTTGCTGAAGTGAATGTTCTCTTCAAAGATTTTAATAATCATTATGAAGAACTCAGACGTGATTTCCAAAGTATGTGCCAACTGCAGTATCAAGATAATGGAGAATGGATAGATGAACGGATCCAGCAGATCCAACAGTATCATGAATTGGATTTGGCATTGGATTCTGCTAAAGTTATCGACAAAGTCAAGGAAGTTTTGAAACTTACTGGTAATTTCTGTGTCCTGCAACAATTGCTGAACTTAGTAAGTACATCTCTTTAACTTGCCATTCAAAAGATAGTCCAGTAAGCGAAAAGTTTCAGTCTCATAAAATTATAAAAGTGTGATATGTAGTGGTTACATGCTCTACTGATATGGCCCTTGAACTGTTGGAAATTACAAACCTCTACTGTATTCCTACATTTCCTAAAAGGAATTATATTTAGGGGAAAAAGAGTCAGTTCTGTGAATCTCTAAGACCAAAGGGATAAAAAAAAATTAGAAGTCTGTGGAACAAAGGGGGGAGGGAATTTGTGTGTTCTTAACATGCAGTCTTCTTATTATATGTAATTTATTCTTCAGACAATTGAATTCCAGTCCTTTCAAGAAGAAAAGCTTTCTTCTATGAGCTCTTCATTGATGGATGCTAAGAAACTGCTGCAAGATATTACTGAAAATCGTCTCCTGTGCCTTCAAGAGCTAGCACTTAGGAAGGAGTTCGTTAACTGGGTCAAAGAGGCTTTGGAAGGTAGAACTGATATATCTCTGTTGTTTCCCCAAGGAAAGTTTTCATTTGCATGTACAATGAGGAACATATACTTGAATGTGTGTTTCCTTTCTGTACTGTTACCCATCCAGAGATAAAGCATGAATTAAACCTTGACAAATAGAACATCTAGATCAGAGTTCCCCAAACTTTGGGCACCAGGACCTGGTTCTGTGGAGAGAGGTTTTTCCACAGACCAGAGGGTGCGTGGTTTTGTGTGCTGCCGGCAGTCTATGGATGGGGCTTTGTGTGGACCGGTTGCTGGCATGCCGCGGCCCGGTACTGGTCCATGGATTGGGGGTTGGGGACCCCTGATCTCGATGCACAATCCTGTGTAATCAAACAAAGTCACACATATGCTATTGTTAATAAATGCCGTAGGAAAAGGTAAAGATTAAAGAAATGTTTTCCCTTCAGATTCCTGTGTAAGAGGAATTCAGGTATGAGGCAATGATACTTATAGCTTAGGTCTCCTTGCCCTGCCAGAATGAGGAACTGGCTTTTAAGAAGGAGCTAGGCTATCTTAGTATCATTGAGGACTCAAATGCAGAAGTGTTATATCACAAGGCTGAAAGAATGGAATGAGAAGGAGAAAAGCGAGCAGAGCAAAACCCAGAGGTTTTGGAGGTACAGTGGGGAACAAGAGGCCATTGGTGATAGCAGCAGCAGCAGCAACAACAACAGAAAGATCAATGTTGGGGGTGGGGCAGAGAGACATTAAATGGTGTGGTGATGACAGGATCACTACAGGAGCCAGCAGCAGATTAATATTGAGTGGTAGCTAATAGACATGGGGAGTGTTGATGTAGGCAGCTGAGGAAGCTGAAAAGATGCCAACGTGAGCCCAAGATATTGGCATCCAGGATGGGGCTGCCTAAAGCACCAGCCATTGGAGCCTGAGATGTTGCGAGATACCCCAGAGAATCCCAGGGTGCTGGTAACAACCAGACAGAGGCCAGTAGGTATGATGTAGCAGCCTAGGAAAAAAGTCTGCTCACATTTCAAAACTTCTACCAAGCCACAAAGCCAAGAACCTGTTCCCAACCCAAAGTCTAAGTGCAGCAATATAATACTAACTGGGCATGCAGACAACTGTGTTGTGATTTGGCCGATCTGAATAAAGATAATGGAAGAGTAATGAGTAAGACATTGTAAGAAAGATGGAACTAAGACATGGGATAAAGTAAGATAAAATCTATAATTAGATGAATGCTGGAAAAGAGTAATTCTGAATCAAAGTGAAGGTTATAGCTATAGCTTGTCTGTAAAGTGATAATTATAAAAATAGACAGGAATAGGCTACCCCTGGTCAGTCTAGTAATAGCAATGGCACTTAGACTTATATACTGCTTCATAGTGCTTTACAGCCCTCTCTGAGCTGTTTACAGAGTCAGCATATTGCTCCCAATATGGGTGCAGTCTGGATCCTCATTCTACTGACGTTGGAAAGATGGAAGGCTGAGTCAACCTTGAGCTGGTCAGGATCGAATTCCTGGAGTGAGCAGTGAGTTAGCTTGCAATACGGCATTCTAACCACAGTCTAGTACACTGCATCCTGACCCTCCTTTCAGCTGGTAGCAGTGGCACTCTAGCTTTAGGCCAACTCAACACTGATCTGCTCTCCTTAAGTGTGTTAGAAAGTGGTAAAATACTTCTGATTTTTCTGACTTCTCTGTATTTGAAAATTATTTCTCAATTAAGCAGCAAAATGTTCATACGGTATATTTCACATAGCTTGTTAGTATTGAGAGGCCTATTTCAGTAGTTGATCTTGTGACTTTTTTCATGTTTGTAAAGAATTAATGAAGATGACCTGGGATGAGCTTGTTCTCTGCATGGTGATCTTCATGTATCCTCATATTCATGCAGACAGCAAACAAAATAGTTTGTACTTTTCCTTAGAAATAAGGAGGAAGGAACAAGGGTCAGTTTGATTCCCTTAGGACAGTGGTGGTGAACCAATGGCATGCGTGCCAGAGGCAGCACTCAGAGCCCTCTCTGTGGGCACGCACGCCATGCCCTGGAGATGGCAACCGTCCCTCTTCAACCAGCCGCCCGCTAACTTGCCGAGGTCCCACATGGCCGGATGCATCCCAGCACCCATGCGCTCGCTGCCCTCTGTGTGCAGGGGCTGATGGTGTCAAGCAGCAGCCGTCCCGGCCCCTGCCTCATCTTGCCCTGTGACAATGGCATCCCCGCCCTGCCTCGCCTCACCCTGCAGGACGAGCCTCCTGCCCATCACCCCACCTGCCAGAGACCCCCTGGATCTCCCCCAACCCTGGCCTCCACAGGCATTCCTCCCCACGAGCAACATCGAGGTGATCACGCCCACCTTGGCCACACCCACCCAGTCTGCCATGACCACCACAGCCACGCCCACCCAGTGGACCACGCCCACCTGGCACCCGGCGATAAATAAGTGGGTTTTGGGTTGCAGTTTGGGCACTCGGTCTCTAAAAGGTTCGCCATCACTGTCTTAGGAAAACTCCCAAAGGAGAAGGAAAAGGCTGCAGATGGGCTAGTATCAATATCAGACCACTCTACTACAGTATAATGGTGAGTTAAAGCACCATCAGAGAGGATTCTGGGGAAAATAATTTGAATAATGGAGAAGGTGGCTATCAGGTAAAGATGGGAAGATGGCTAAAATGGCTGCTGAACCTGGACTGTCATTTATTGGCTTCAGATTGGTTAATAAACCTGAAATGGACTGAAGGCTTCCCCCTAATTTGGATTTATGGTTGCTGAGAAAGATTGGGACAAGACTTACCAAAGTTTTGAGGGGGGAGGACTGGGGAAAAGAGAGATGAAGGGGAACAACATGATGGGGGACATAGCTAGATGACCCTGGGGTGCGCCTGAGAATGAAGATAAATGAAACAAAATCATGCGTGCTAGAGAATAACCAGCCAGTCATCTGCCATTTCATCAACCTGAAAGTGAAAGGGATCTAGTAATCCCTGGGAGCTTCTGCTTGCTAATCAATTTAGGAAGCCTTTTTCTTGAACCTAAAAGAATAGAACTAGTAATTATAATCTGAGTGAGGTGGGTTTTCATCAACCTAAAGCTTCTTGTGAAAGTGAGGAGCAGCTATCTATGTAAGTGTATTGCTGCCTTTTAATTTTTTTAATATAGTAATTATTTACTGCTCCAATTGAAATTTACTACATGTTCTTACATACTTTATTTACACAAATCAAGCTAAAGTGTATATTTAAGGTATAAATAATGATGCAAAATACAAACAGAAAAAAAAACCACCCTACATCACAGGTGTCAAACTTGATCGCGTATCGTGAGGTAACATGACTTTTTTTGCCTTTGCAGAGCCAGGATGGGTGTGTCCTGCGCATAAAGTTTGACATGCCTGTCCTACATTAATTAAACTCCAGATTACAATTACACTTGTTTTCCATTGCTTTCTTATTTAAATCCAAAACTTAGCACATTATTTAGTTTAATCATAATAATGATAAAACTTCAGGATCATTTGCCTTGCTTTATCTGGAAAAAAACTAATGTTTTAGGGAACTTTGGAATGTTCTATTTCTCCTCTACAATGTCCCAACAATTTTATATTAGTTAATTCTCTATTTAGAAGCAAAACCATTTAAAGTTCAGAGGACTAATTTCTTAAAATTGTTGAATCACANGTTTGTTTTTGTATAAAAAAACAAAAAATGCAATTATAAGCCATCCTAGAAAGCACTTCAATACATCCAGGGAAGCCATTCATAGAATATAAATTTCCTTTTTACCTCACAAAGTGCTTTCTTCCTTTCCGTTAGACAAAAATGAGCTGAAAGTGTTTGTGGAGCTGGCTTCAATATCTGCAGGAGAGAATGACATGGAAGTGGATCGTGTGGCTTGTTTCCATGATGCTGTGTTTGGCTACTCTTCCCTGCTGTATGATTTAAAGCAAGAGGCAGGATTTAAGGAATTCATGAAGTGTTTGGAGAATATATGGAAAGCTCTGGAAAGTGATCACAACCTTCCTGAGAAGCTGGTAATTACTGTAGCAGCCTTGTATCTTTCCATTACTCCCGTTTAAATGGCTGTGCATTTGATAAAGATGCTTTATGCTTATAGCATATTAATTAGTAAAAATATTCTTTGAACCTGAAGTCTACAAACCACTTAGGTGCTCTGCATTCAAAGAGAAACACGGAATTATGTTTTTCCACATGAAGTCCAGTTTGCATATTATGTCAGTTGGCGATTTTAGTGAAATTAAACTTAGGTAAAATATGCTTGAAAGCCCAGAAAACAGTGGGGTAGAAATTTTAGAATGTCTGCTTCAATTTTGTCTATTTTACCTGACTTAAGAAAGATACAAGCTAATGGGAATATTCCTTCTCATATCTTCACCCTATAGCGTGATTCTGCAAGATACTTGGATTGGTTAAAAACTATCAAAGAGAGTCATGGCTCTGTGGAGTTGTCTTCTATATCCCTGGCAACCAGAATCAATGAGAAAGGAATCTACAGAATTAAGGCCCCAGTGGAGGGACAGGTCTGTTTTTTTTTTATTTTCTGCTAATTTCCACAAAACTGTTTTTAAATGTTCTTTGTGCATTTAATTTGTTTGCCTCTACTGCTGAACCAGCTCTATCTAGGTGGTGTAAAATAAAATAAGGATTAAACACCGAAATACAGTAATATATGAAAAGGATATTATTGCATATCAGCTCCCCAAAAAGATATTCATGCAATTTTTACCCTCATTAACATTTTAAATTGCACTTCAACTATATTACAATCACGTTTAAGCATACTTGTTAATAAACTGCTTTCTTTATGAGTGTCTAATGTTTACTGAATTAATACATTTTAAAAATGGGCAGTCTTCATTATGTCCTTGTATATATTATGTTTTGTTGTAAGGTTTGCCTGGACACTATTCTGGACCTGACCATCCAAGAAAGTCATGGGGACCAAGAGAATCGGACGTATTCTCTGGAAGAGCTTCAAGAACTGATGAACAAGTTGATGTTGATGTCTGGAAAAGAAGAACAAAGTGCACAAGTGGAGAAATTTTCTGAAGTAAGCTTCCTGAAGCAGCCTAATGCTAATTAAGAGGAATTGATGGTTTTATATACCCAAAGTATTTAAAATAGATATATTTTGTATATAAAGATTATTGCTTATTGCTCAATTGTAATAGCTATTACAATAGCTGTAATTGTAATGGTCAGGATGTTTCTTTGGGGAAAATGGGATTGTTTCATCTCTTTGTGATATTATATATATCTCATATTAGACTTTTGGATGGTAAAGCACACAGACACACAATTTGTAATCATTTCTAATAATAGTAAAATTGTTTCATTGCTACTACAGTGATTCAGTATTGTAATATCACAATGATCCCACTCTCATAGTCAGACATGGGCCTATGTCTTATTTTTTTGGCCCTTTCCTGGATCTCTCATGCTTCCACAGTTTTATACGCTTTTCCGTCTATTCACATATCTTCCCCCCATTTACAGCAGCAAATATACTCTTAATGGTTTCTCATACCTTATTTATGAGCTTATTTGTTAGAGCATACAATGGGCAGGACTTGGGAGCTGCACAGATAATGCCTATGGATTGCATATCTGTATTCTAAATAATCAAAAGTGTATACTAGGTTGTTTAATAATGATTTGGATTCAATCTACTGTTGTGTTTTTGTGTTGTATTCTTCACTCAGGTATTTTCCAACATTCAGAGATTCGCATTGTCCTTCATGAACCTTTATTCTGCTGGAAACATGCTTTTCCGAAACTGGATTGCTAACATATATTGCTCACCTGAGAGTCTGTTTTGCATTAATATGAACTTTAATTTAAATTCCATCTGTGGCTTTTGTGGAAGTGGAGATGTGGCAAAGGTTCTGCCAGCCATGTGCAGGAAGATGGAGAGTTTTCTGGAGAGGTGGAATCAGTTCATGTCTGAGAAGCGATCCCAGTATTTTTATCTGAATTATTACATGGCTGAACAGCTTGTATATTTATGCAAGGAGCTTGGTTCGGGGAAACCCAGTGAGTCTGCCTTAATGATGCTGTCTTTCATAAAACACAACTGCAGTAGCCAAGATATTGAAGAAGTCTTCAAACTAGTGGTATCTGAAATACCAAAGAGTTTTGATGTAACATATGGACACCAGGCAAGTAGAAGAGAAGTGACTGAACACCTGGAGGAAATCTGGGGTTCCTACATGGAGAACATGGGTTTATTTCTTCCACACTGCTTTGATTTTGAAACTCTTGGTAGATTCCTATCTACTTTGGCAGATTTAGAAAGAAGGAATGTTGAGCGAATGTTACCACAAGGTCTTCATTCTAGGCAGCCCAACCTCATTCTTTGCCATCGTTCTGACATTTTGGTTTCTACAATTTCCATCTACATGAACAATCCAGAAGAGACACTACCCTCTTATGATGAAGTCTTATTGTGTACACCACAAACCAGTTTCGAGCAAGTGGAATTGTTTATGAGGCGATGCCTTACTCCAAACAAGAAAGAAAAGAAGATTTATACCTTACTCTTTGCAGATGAGTTGAGTAACGATGTTGGCTATAAGTTAGAGGAACTATACCAAAACCTACGTTTAAAACATACCAGTGACTATCAATTAGTGATGTTCTGCAACTGTGAGAGAGAAGACCGCTATATCCCCTCTGTTTTTAGTAATTTTATCATTCACATGACCCCTCTTCGGCCCCCAAAAGACATCCAAAGTTACCTTGGGAAGCATTGCAAAGCCACTGCGCTTGGAAATCCATCAACTTCCATATTCAAGAATAACATGTGTGTTGGGATTGTATCTTCTGAAAGAGCTGGAATGGGTGAGAAAACCAAGTTCAAGCAACCTCCGATCTTGGATATATAATCATAGTTTAGCAAGAAAATAATCTATATTAGCGTAGTAGTTAATAATTAATGTTATTAATCGGGCTTGTTTATAAGAAATCTGTTTCAAACCATGTACTATTATGTTAATAGCAGTTTATGGTTAAGTGGTGCTATAGCTAATTGGAATTATCATTTTAATTAACATGTAATGTGAATAGTTCTAAACTTCTTGCCCACTACACTGGAGAACTAGAGGAAAAAAGGCATACATAAAAGTGACTTAGCTTAGAACTTATTTATATTATTTCTTTATTTATCTGAATTTATTATAACTGCCTAAATCCAAAGGACTGAGCAGTAGAAGCTGAGGAAGTAAATGTTTGTGGGCTTCAAATTTTGGCCTATTGAGAAAGCACTTTCTTTGTAAGTGTATGTTTTAAAGCCTTTCTGCTTTTATGCACAATAAAGAAACAAACCAACAACAACAAAAAAAGAAGCATCTACCTCCTGTTAAAAAGCTCAGAAAAGAAGTAAAAAATCTCCAGGTTCAACTGCCCTTATTGTTCTGCCCACCACAATCTTTGCAACTCTATGATGTGTGGTCCTTAGTCACTGTATTTAGTTTCTTTAGTTAGAGAAATAGTGTGTTATATTTTGCTATATGTATGAAAAATACAGATTCACAAGTCCTTCATTATAAGCACTATACCTTCATTATAAGCACTAAATAACAATCTTATCTAACAGGAGCCATTCTTGGATGGTTTGATATTTCAGCAAGCCTGTATGCATGATAGAAACACTATACATTTTTATGGGGCCACAATGATAGATTCAGTATTTCAGCAGTATACTGCTAGATTCAGCAGAAACCCTAGGTTACTTTTTGAAAAGTTACTTTTGAAAAGAAGCAAATGGATTTTAAAAAGTTTTAATTTATTCTGATCTTTATTTTTAATTAGATTGGTTTTTTTTATTGAAAATTTTATAAAATTTTACAATATAAATCCCCCCCTTCCCCTTCCC